ACCAGAGAAGCTATTCACATGACACACATGTAGAAGATTCAGAAGATCCTTCAGCCACAAGACCAACCTGAAGAGTTATGAAAGGATTCCCACAGAAGAGAAACTCTACACCTTCTCCCTGTGTAACCATGGCTTCTGCCAGTCATCCACATACCACCAGCACAGAAGGAATTACACAAATCAGATTGAACTGTATACCTTCCTCAGAAGAGGTTAGCTGGGCTAGAACATGAAGAAGCATGTAGCTTCTTAGCCAGTGAAGATTTGCTATTTAACTTCCAGATTGTTCCTGCTGTTTGTTGTTCCATCCAACTGGTATGTGAGGGTAAAGAAGATGAGTAATTTGACAGTTGTTCACTAAAGTTTATCCAATGCCTAAATATTGGCTTTTATCTTAATTCTCATTAGTAATTGTTGATGTTTCTCTGTTTCTCCTGCGTGTTATGTTCCATGTGTGTTCATGTATGTGCCTCTGTGTAAGGTTGTTGGGCCTTATTTTCTACCTTATTTGAGACAGACGTTATCGTTCTACAATTTGAACCCCAGTTCAGATGGTTCTGTAGCTCACAGAGATCCTCTTGTCTGCATTCCCAAGCTTAGGAGCTGATAGGACAGATGTCTCTGCTACTGCATATGCCTTTCAAATTATTTTAGTGTGTGTGTGTGTGTGTGTGTGTGTGTGTGTGTGTGTGTGTGTGTGTGTAGAAGCCCTTGCATGTCAGCAGGGGCATCAGATCTCCTGGATCTGGAATTATGGGTTCTTGTGAGCTGCCATATGTGAGCCAACTGAACCTTTGTCATCTGCAAAAGTAGTAAGGGCTCTTAACCACTGAGACATGACTCAACTCTTTGATCTGTGTTCTAACTCTATTCTTCAGATACAAAGTAGGGTCATTGGGTTTCTGCATCATGCACTCATATACTGAAATACTGTCCCATCTCTTTAATGCTTCTGTTCTAATATGTTAATATGCACTGCAGGTAGGCATTTTTCTTGAATGTCTTTGAGACATAATAGTTTTGAGATGTTGATTCTATCTGGGATGCATAGTGATAGGAAAAGTCCCTCCAGGGGTAAGGCCATGCAACTAGTTTATACTTTAGTAGCGATGAATCTCTGTTTCTTCTGCCATATGCTTATGCTCAAAGAACTGACAGAAAAGTTTCCCTTCTAGTTCCTAATTGTTCCTAATTCTTGGAGTTGCTTATTTTGTTTTATTTTATGACAGGAACTTGGGACCAAGTTGTTTAAAAGTTACTTCAAATCCTTGTGGAGATGCTGTCATCATGTGATTACAGTAGAGTTGAAAATCACCAATCTTCTGGGAAACAATACCAAGAGATCGTGAACCTTTAAATCAGGGAAAGTGTCCTATCATAGCTATAGCAGAGTCTCATGTCTCCTAGCAACATCTGCCACCATGGTGTGATTGAAGACTAAGGTGAGTGACCAGAGAATAGGAGTAGCAAGAACTAAAGGCATTAGAAAGAACTTGTTGGAGAAGACATGCTTGTGCTATTGGATACATCTTACATTTTTCCTAAGTGCCTCTTTTAATCATAGTTGTATTGAAAATATTTATATTACATTTTTCTTTCAACAGCTCTGCTGAAAGGAAGGAGAGAAGCAGAGGAGGAAGGAAGAAAGGCAGAAAGGAAGGAAGGAAGGAAGGAAGGAAGGAAGGAAGGAAGGAAGGAAGAAGGACACTGAATAGGTGGGGTAGGGAAAACTCTGGTATTGGTTTAGAAACTGGTAATTTGAATGTGTTTTTGGATGAAATTGGGGCTATTCCCAACTCAGGGAGAAGCCAGCTGTCAATCCTCCCTAAGGTCTGTGAACCCTGTTCCTTCCATAAGCTGGTACTGAGTCTCTCATAGTAGATATATATATCTGAGTAAAATATCTTTTAGTGGTATCAACTCACTTTTCATCCTCCTAAATTCACTTGTCAGTCTCTTTCTGTATCTCTCCTCACTGTCTCTATCTCTCTCACCCTCTTCCTCTTTCTGCATGTTTCTTCCTAATTTTCAGTTTTTAACAGGAAGATCTATTTGGATTCTTCTTGTCTACAGATGATACTGCGGAGTCCCACCCAGGGACCTGCACCAACTGAAAAAGCCATGAGCTACATCCCCATCTCACCATGCTCACTTGAACTGCTTTTATTCTTTTCATCCCTTCAGGGATTAAGAGTTAAAATTGAATAAATTACAAATAAGGAATAAATACATACTAGGAATATGATTTATTTCTTGGTACTTCATCTATTCTAAAATATGGCAGCTGTTGTGTGGTTCTAGCTCACCTGTTATCTGCAAGAACATACAGATAAAGTGCTCTTCTCATGTGAAGAGTTAGGCCGGATCCTTTCTGGAAAATCCACACAGGTATGCTTGGCTTTCTCAATTCCTGTTGTCTTGTGACTGTCTAGAGTTTCAGAAGCTGTCATATCTGCCTGATGTTAGAGAATTCTGTTATATGTGACTCCCAAACCAAAACCCCAGCAACAAAATCTATCATATTATACACCTATCTAATACATTTTTAACTCTTGCTTACAGACAAAAATGAAAGTTTACCAACTGGACCCTAAACTTTATGTGGTTAACCTGTGAGTTCACATCAGTGTCACCTTAATTGACTGTCATCACTGTAGCTCTGTAGCATACAACATAGCAAGAATTTATCATTTAATGACCACAATGCCCTTATTTTATTAATTAGAACCAAGTTGTAACTACATATATTTATCATTTTTACCTTTGTAAGTATGCAGTGCAGTCATGTGAAAAATAATCCTAGTGTTCTCCAGCCGATCTCCAAAACATTTTGTCATAAACCCAAAACTCTGCTCAATAAACCAACATTTATTACCTCCTCCTTGCATCACTGCCAATCATCACTCTAATGTCTTTTACGTTTTTATCACAGGATTCAGTGACTGTTGGGAAGGGCATGTACCCTATAAACATCGTGCATGTGTGGAGGTTAGGAGATATGTTTGGGGAGCTGGTTCTCTCCTTGGACCATGGGTGACACTGGAATGAACTCTGATCATCGAGCTTGAAGGAAAGGACCTTTACATGCTGAGCCATCTTGCTGGCTTTCATCACTTTTGTTTTTGTGCATTTTTAGTTATTTATTGTAGTTACTACAGCTAGACTGAATCACCCAGTAGTATAATTGACCACGGCACTTAACACCGGTTCACTTGTGGTTATCTACATTGTAGCATGCGCCAACCTTTCATTTCATAGCATAAATACTAACTATAGCATTGTGTATATACAAATGTTGTCTTGATTCATTTGTTTGTTATGGGCATGTTGGATGATTGCATCCTTCAGATGTTTTAAATGGTTCTGCTATGGAAGTGTCTAAAGAGCTATCTTTTCAAGTCCCTGATTTTAATTCTTTATCATTCATACTAAAAAGTAGAACTGGTGGATGAAATAGCAATTCTTGTTTCATATAAAATAATATTTTATATGCATGCAGCATATATAGCATGTGAACTTTAAGACAGGTATATACCAAGAGAATCAATAAATAATAAGAAATAAGTCTTAGAAATGTGTTGCTTTTAGGAGGGAAATTATTACAATTTCAAACATTCTTTAAAGCAAAGGGTAATGTACATTTATGCCATGTTATGCAGGAAAAACTGCAGGGACATAAACAAGACCGTTTTTTTGGCAAATAATTCCATGCACAAAATGACAACTTAGAAATAAGCATGACCCTACATGTGGGAGATGCAATAACACTCCAATTGGAATTTGCTAATGATTTATAAATTTTGTTCAAGAGAAACAATACTAATTTGTAGAGCTTCTACAACATTCCACTTTCATATAGAGTAGATACAGAGGGTCTTATTTCACATATGCTCACAAGCTTTAGTTCCTGCTCTTTATGTAAATTCGCATCACCTGATTGCATTCCTTAATTATTGGAGACGCTGAACCTCATTTTACATACATTTTGAACTGTTCTGAATTGTTTATAAGGAATTTGTCTAGGTCTGTAACCCATGTCTCATTTGTTTTATGTTTTCCTTTTTTTTTTCAAATTTAGTTTTAAATATTCTTTTTATGGCAGAAAGATAAGACACACAGTGTTTCAGAGTACACACTGCTCTTACTTTGAATCTGAGTTCAGTTACTAGCTTTTACAGGTAGCTCATAATGATCTACAAACACAGCTATAGGAGATCCCATGCCTCTGGCCCCTGCTGGCCCCCACACACACACAGCACACACATAATTAAAACTAAAATATATCTAAAAATAAAATAGCTTGATATTTAACCACTTGTTCTGTATATGATTTTTGCACATTTTTCTATTATTTTTTTGATGGATGTTGAGTTTTGGTCATGTGAATTTCAGACTTAATGCCATGTTTATTTTTTTTTTTTTTGTTTCATTGGGTATTTTGTTTGTTTGTTTTTTAAGACAAGGTTTCTTGTGTAGCTTTGTAGATCAGGTTGGCCATGAACTCACAGAAATCCACCTGTCTGTGCCTCCTAAGTTCTGAGATTAAAGGCATGTGCATCCCCACCCAGACCAATAATGTCATGTTTTTAAAATTCTTTGAAAATCAATGATAAATTATTATGTTTAGTCAAAGGCAATGGAAACATTCGTCTTTGGGTGAGGGCTTTTTGAGACAGAGTTTTTCTTTGTGTAGCCCTGGCTTTCCTGGAATTAACTCTGTAGGTCAAGCGAGCCTCAAATTCATATGGATGTCTGCCTCAATCTTTGATTTCTGTTTGAAGGTTATATGGCACCTCATCAAGTGGAAACATTAATCTTTAGTAAACATATCCAAAATTTTCCGTTTAAGTAATGCAGCACATGTACTTTAATAAAGAACAAAGCTTTAGATGCTCTTATTCAATGATGGTGCTATGTAATACCCCAAAGTGAAAAATATATTATTTTAGCTAACATCATTAAATAATGCACACCCATAATATATTTCAAGGGACTCTTCACCCTAATAAATTTATTTACATTTTTAATAGGAATGAAAATGTCTTCTAGCAACATGGCAGTGGGAATTTTCCTCTTCTCCCAGATCACAGTGGGCATGCTTGGAAATTCCTTAATACTAATTTATTATGTCATTTTGATATTCACTGGAAAGCATTTAATGCACAAAGACCTGATTATAGAGCATTTGACTTTTGCCAACTTCTTATCTATCATCTCAAGAGGAATTCCACAGACAATGTCAGATTTTGGATTTAAGTATTTCCTAGATGACATTGGATGTAAATTGATAATGTACATTTACCGAATATCAAGGGGGGTGTCCCTGTATGCCATGTGCTTACTCAGTTGCTTCCAAGCAATCACAATCAGCCCCAGCAACTCCAGGTGGATGAAGCTAAAACACAGAGCCACCAAGTTCATTGGCCCCTCCTGCTCACTCAGTTGGCTTGTGCATCTGCTTCTAAACATCTGGACACCAGCAAGAGTGTCAGGACCCATTTACAACAAAAGTACAACTACTAGGATGAGTTATGGATACTGCTCATGGTTTGCTTACGGTAATGTGGCAACAGCATTGTATATATTCTTACTGTGCTTCAGTGATGGCCTGTGCCTGGGTCTCATGGCCTGCTCAAGTGTCTCCATGGTGATTATACTCTACAGACATAAGGGACAAGTCAAGCATATCCATAGTGCTCAATATTTTCTAAAAGTCTCACCTGAGGAGAGAGCTGCCCAAACTATCCTCATGCTGGTGTGCGTATTTGTCATCTTTTACTCATTCTCTTCTATTGTGGTTATCTTTTCGACCTACTACAAAGCTCCAATGCTATGGGCAGTAAGTGTATTTCTATTTCTAGAAATATGCTTTCCCATAGTTTGCCCCTATGTTCTCATCAGCAATATCAAGGCTAGTTCCAGCATATTTTTATCCTGCTGTAGTAAAAGAAATCTTCCTTCAAGTTTGACATGAGCAGTACTTATCTGCCTTTGCTTATATAATGGCATATTCTTTAATCTATTGTAGAATGCTGACTCTAGTTTGAAAGTATTGAGCATCTTCTCTCTGCCTCCTTCAGCAAATCTGATAGGTATGTGTTACAACAACTGATTATAAAACTCAAGTGTTTGGGGATCAAAGACCTCAACATAAAATCAGAAACAATGAACCTGATATCACAAAAAATTGGGGATTAGCATTAAATGCATTGATACTGGAACAACTTCCTGAACAGAACACATATAGTGTAAGCACTATGGTCAACAGTTAATAAATGGAACCTCATTAAACTGAAAAGCTTCTGTAAGGCAAAGGACACTGGCAATAGGACAAAATGCCATCCTGCAGTATGGAAAAATTTTTCACCAACTCCACATCTGATATAGGGCTAATATACAAGATATATAAATATCTCAAGAAACTAATTGTGAATAAACTAATAATCTAATTAAAAATGAGGTATAGTTCTAATCAAAGAACTCTCAATAGAGGAAATTCAAATGGCTAAGAAGCACTTTCAAAAATCTTAAACATCCTTAAACCATCTTTGAAATACTACTTTGAGATTCCATCTTATACCTGTCAGAATGGATAAGTTCAATAACACAGCTCATATTGGTAAGGATGTGGAGTAAGATGAACACTCCTCCATTGCTGGTGAGAATGCAAACTTGCACAGCCACTGTGGAAATTAGTGTTGCGATTCTTTAAAAATTGGTAATGGATCTACCCCAAGATGTACCTATAGCATGCTCCATTCTCCCACAAATACACTTGATCAGCTATGCTCATAGTAACTTTATTCATAATAACCAGAATCTAGAAATGACCTAGATGGCTCCCAACTGTAGAATGGATAAAGAACATGCAATACATTTACATAATGGATTAGTATCAGCAGTTTTAAAGAAAATGGCATCAGGAAACTTGCAGGTGAATAGATAAAACTTAAAAAATCATCTTGAGTGAAGTGACCTGTTGCAGAATATTTGTTTAACTAAACAAAGATGTGCTGCATTTGTTTAACTATTAAAGATGAGTTAAACTTGTTTAACTATGTAAATATGCGTTGTATTTATTTAATTATGTAAAAAAATTATTGCTATTTTATCTTGCCTGCCTTGGAGCCCTAGAGTTGAGATGAAAATCACTCATGCCGAAGCAAAGGAGACCTATCAAGACTTGAATATATTTTAATAGGATTGCAGAGTATTTACTCCTGGGTACAGAATAGCCTGTATCCCCCCACACCCCTTTCCTGTCAAAATCTAATTACTTCCACATGATCCAAAAGATTATCCCTTCCTTCATTTTATTCTTTCCTTAACAATCTCATTCCTTCTTTTTCATGCTGTTTCATTTTACATTTGATGAAATTTGTTATATTTCCACCCCTAAACAAGAAGCTATTTGCAACTGAAAGTTGCCAGGAGAAGTGTGATTCATTTTTTTAAACGGAATGACACTTTGTACCACTTGTATATGGAGGACAGGCTTTAAAATCAGGAATAGCTGGCCAACACAGATCACACATAATTTTCAGTGACTTTTTTTCTCCTTTGGCTTTTGTCTTTGATTTTGCTTTTCTTAAGAAGAAAGAAAATAAAGTTTACTGGGTAGGGAGTAAGGAAGGTTAAGAGCACAGTTGAGAAAAGGGGTCAAGACCAGGCTACAGAAACCCACAGACAGCTGACCTGGACAAAGGGGAGCTCATGGACCCCAGACTGATAGCTGGGAATCCAGCCTTGCACCAACTCAGACCCCCTGAACATGGGTCTCAGTTAGAAGGCCTGGGCAGTCTAAGGGACCTCTGACAGTGGAAGCAGGATGTATCCCCTGGGGCATACAAGGGCTTTGGAAGCACGTTCTCCATGGAGGGATACTCCGTTAGCCTAGAGGCAGGAGAGAGGGCCTAGACCCTACTCCAAATGACTTGACAGATTTTGATGATCCCTCCTGGAGGGCATCACCCTCCCTGTGGAGTGGGGGGTATGGGATTTGAGAGGGCAAAGAGGGTGTGAGCAGAGGGAGGGAGAGCTGCAGCATAACAACAAATACAACCAGAATATTCTTATGAGCCAAACAATCTTAAGAAACACCTTCAGGAAAACAAGAGACTTTCGTGATGTTTCCGACCTTGAAATTTTTTCTGCGTAACGTACGTAGTACAACATTTTCTGAACCTCTCCTCAGAAGAAACTATATCAGGTAGATGGGGCTATCTTTACTAAATAATTGTCCAGTGTTTACTTTTAGACATATATTATTGCACCCATTAAATATGAAATTATAAGTTCCCTGAACAAAACCAGGGATATAATTGTCCTTTGAAAATTGCCAAATTATGACGTAAGTAACTGACTGTCCTAAAGAAGACAGATCCAGAGGCCAGAGAAATGGCTTGGTAGTTAAGAGCACTTGCTACTCTTACAGAGGCCCAAGGCTTAGTTCCCAGCATCAACAACAACTCATAACTCCAGTTCAAAAAAATTAATGCCCCTACTAGACTTTGCAGGCATCAGGCATGCTTGTGAGGCACTTTCTTACATGCATGTGCGAAGCACATACATATATAATTACATACATACATACACACACATATATATAAATCTTAACCATAATTAAAAATAAAAACAGATTCTAACACTGTGATAGATTAAGAAGCCACACTTTTGGTGGGCATAGCTGAACATCCATTACATCATGTGCTCAATGAGGAGGATTCCCCACCACAGCACTTAACAGAGAAAATTGGTGCATCTCACATCCAACTTCATCATGATACATGCTTAACCTGTTAGCCTCTGCTGAGGACATAAACTTTTTTTGTCACTTAAGAAGTTTCCTTTAAAAAAAAATGGGGTAGTTCATATGTGAGTACATTTCCATTTCTCCTCATCCTCCCCATATCCCTCTCCCAAATTTATGACTTCTTTAATTACTATTGCTCTGTGTGTGTGTGTGTGTGTGTGTGTGTGTGTGTGTGTGTGTGTGTGCGCGTGCATGCGTGCGTGTACATACAAGTTAATGGCAGTTTCTATATTTGCTGAGAACCCATTTGCTTCTAGATGACACTTTCTGGGTGTGTCCCCATCAGGTAAAGTCATGTTATAATTCATCTTCTCTTTTATAAGGGTAATTATCCTGTACTATATGATGATTTCTTGGGAAGGACACACTGAAGTCACAGCAGTATTAGCATGAGATTTAGAGATATTGAAATATTACTCTAGTAATCTAGTGGTATCCTAATCACCCCAACATGGCTAGGATGATTCATGTGTTTGGGTGATGTTGGCACAAAACCTACTGTACTAACAGGTGCATAAAATGTACAATTATGCATCATGTATATGACAGTTAATATTTGATTATGATAACAAGTGACTATTTTGTTAGCTTTTATATTTACTGTACTTTCATTATGATTTGAATGAAGATTCCCATTTGTATAAGAAGTTTATATGTAGCAGCTTACTGTATTACACCAGCAGAAGCCAAATACACACTGTGTCTTTTATCACATCCAATGGCCATATTGCATAACCCATACTTTTTTTGACACACTAACATATTCACATAGCCTTGAAATTATCAAATGGTGCATTTCTTACAACACATGTCATCATTAAGCTGGGGATTAAATAACAACACATGCATTTTGAGGGGGCAGAAACATTCAGATAACATCAATGGATATTTAATTAAAACTTGCATATGTGGGCTAATAGGATCTTTATTCATCATAGCCCATAGAAGGAGATGAAACAGTTTTTAAACATTTGTATGTGTCAAAATATGTCTGACTCACATAAATATTCTATGAACTGAAAGTAGCCACATACAAAAGGTGACATAATATGATTCCACTTTAACAAAGTCACCGGACTAGGGGAATCCACAGAGACTTAGTAGCAGCAGAGTGTTTTCTGAGAGTCAAGGGGCAGAGTGATATGACTCCTTCCATGGCAATGGGTAAGTTTTTGGTTTTTTTTTTTAACCAGTGTTATTTTACGTATCAATCCCAGTTTCCTCCCCCTCCCTTCATCCCAGTCCTCCCACAACATCCCTACCCCACCCCTCATCTACTCCTCAGAGGGGGTGAGGCCTTCCATGGCAATCACCAAAGTCTGCCACATCTTTGGGGCAGGACCAAAGCCCTCCCTCATGTATCTCGACTGAGCAAGGTATCCTTCCATGGGGAATGGGCTCCAAAAGCCCAGTTCATGTACTAGGGATAAAAACTGGTCCCACTGCTAGTGGCCCTATGGATTGCCCAAGTCCCCCAACTGACACCCATATTCAGAGGGCCTAGTTCAGTCTTACGCATGTTCCCAGCTGTCAGTGAGCTTCCACTGGCCCAGGTCAGCTGTTTCTGTGAGTCTTTCCAACACGGTCTTGACCCCTTTGCTCGTATTATTGCTCCTCCCTCTCAGCAACTGGACTCTAGGATTTCAACAAGTAAACTTTTAAATATACACCTCACACATTTTTTAAAAAAATTATCTGAAGTATCTGATGGTCAAAGAGCTGCCTCATTGGCATCCAGTTTTGTGGGGTTTGTTTTGTTTTCAGTATCCCCATCATTGTCTACTTACCGTTCCCACCTGAATCAAATCTTTCCTGTAAAACACTGTCCTATTGCACACGGAATGGTTTTTTCTTTCTTTCTTTCTTTTCTTTCTTTCTTTTTTTTTTTTTTTTTTTTTTGTTGCTGTCCATCTTTCTTGACTATAACTGTCTCACTTAGGGTTTCTATTGCTGCAATGAAACAGTTTGACCAGTTGTGGAGGAAAGAGTTGGTTTATTTAGTTTACACTACACGAGATCATTGTCTATCATTGGAGGAAGTCAAGACATGACAAAATAGGGCAGGGTCCTGGAGGCAGGAGCTGCTTACTGGCTTCCTTCTCTTGGCTTACTCAGCCTGAGTTTATGTAGAACCCAAGACCACCAGCCTAGGGAGGGAACAA